CCATGTAATACAAGCAATGTAGAATTATGGCACAAGAGGCTTGGGCATTTCCATCATGTTGAACTTTTTTATATGCAAAAGTATAATTTGGTGAAAGGAATAACATTGCTGGAAGAGAAGATGGTAGATTGTGAGGCTTGTCAGTATGGCAAACAAGTTAGAAGTCCATTTCCTCAAACTGCATGGAAAATAAAACACAAGCTTCAACTGGTTCATATAAATGTAAGAGGACCTCAAAAAACATCATCTTTAAATGGCAGTAAGTATTATATTGTCGTTATTGATGATTATACTAGATTCTGCCGGATTTATTTTCTTAAATTCAAATTTGAGGTTGCTGGTGTATTTTGGAAATTTAAAGTATGGGTGAGGAATCAAAGTGGTTACAGAATGCAGGTAATAAAGTCAGATAATGGGAAGGAATACACTTCTGATAGGTTTAACAAATTCTGTGAAGAAGTTGGTATTGAGCACCAACTTACGGCACCCTATTCTTCACAACAAAATGGAGTAAGTGAAAGAAAAAACAAAACCATAATGGAGATGACAAGGTGTATGCTATATGAAAAGGAGCTATCAAAGAAATTATGGGCAGAAGTTGCAAATACAATAATCTTTCTACTAAATCGACTACTAACCAAAGTCTTGCAGAAGAAAACTCCATTTGAAGCATGGTTTGGTTATAAGCCAGACTTGCAGCATCTAAAACCTTTGGTTGCTTATGTTTTTCTTATATGTCACAGGTAAAAAGATACAAACTAAACAAAAAGACAGAACCATGAGTCTTTATTGGATATAGCAGCTTATCTAAAGCTTATAGAATTTTTCAACCATAAAATGAAAAAATTCTTGTGAGCAGAGATGTTAAGTTTATAGAGGATAGACAATGAAACTAGAAAGAGTCAAAAAAAGAGCAACACTCAAAGTTTTAGCAAAATCCTGAGGATGACATAGATGAAGTACCAATTAGAGGTACAAAGCCATTACTTGATATTTATTAAAGGTGTAATGTTGTTGTTTTTGAGCTTACAAAGTTTAAAAAGGCAAAGAAGGGTGACAAGTGGATTAAAACAATGAATGAGGAGCTTAGAATGATTGAAAAGAATAACACTTGGGAGCTGGTGGACAAACCTTAAAACAAAAAACTTATAGGTTTCAAATGGGTTTACAGAACCAAACTTAATACAGATGGTTCTGTAAACAAATATAAAGCCAGATTAGTTGTGAAAATGTATGCTCAAGTGTTTGGAGTAGATTTCTTTGAGACCTTTACTCCAATAACACGACTTGATACAATTAGAATGCTACTTGCCTTAGCAGCATAGAAGGGATCGAAGGTTTACCAGCTGGATGTGAAATCTGCATTTTTAAATGGTTATTTACAAGAAAAAATCTTTGTAGAGCAGCTAAAAGGTTTCCAAGTCAAGGGATAAGAAACAAAAGTCTACTTGTTAAAGAAGGCCTTGTATGACCTTAAACAAGCTCTCAGGGCCTAGTATAACAGGATTGATGAACACCTACTAGGTCTTGGTTTTGTTAAAAGCCTAAGTAAAGCTACATTGTATGTAAAAGAAACTGATGATAATCTAATCATAGTTTCTATTTATATTGATGACATGCTTATGACAGGAAGTGATGAGGAGCTAATAAAAGAGTTTAAGACCGAAATGCTCAAAATATTTGAGATGACAGACCTTGGTCTGATGTCTTATTTTTTGGGTATAAAGGTGAAGCAAAATCAAGATGGAGTCTTCATATGCCAAAAGAAACATGCAGGGGAAATACTTAAGAAATTTCATATGAAGGACTGCAAATGCACAAACACCCCAATGAATCAAAAAGAAAAATTTAGCAAGGATGATAGATCAGACAAAATTGATGAAAGTCAGTACAAAAGTTTGATTGGTTGTTTGATGTATCTTACTGCCACCAGACCAGACATTATGTTTACAGTCAGCCTGCTCTAACGATTCATGCATTATGCTAGTGAGGTGCACTTTCAAGCTGCTAAAAAGATTGTCAGATATATTAAGGGCACAAGAAATTATGGTATCAAGTATTTCTACTGTCAGGATTTTAAACTCCATGGTTACTCTAATAGTGATTGGGCTGGTTCAGTTGATGATATGAGAAGCACAATAGGTTTTTGTTTTGGCTTTGGATCAGGAATGTTCTCATGGTGTTCAAAGAAGCAAGAAGTGATAGCTCAGAGCACAGCTGAGGCTGAGTATGTTGCAACCACTGCAGCTGTGAATCAAGTACTTTGGCTCAGGAAGATACTTGCAGACTTACACATAGAAGAGAATGAGCCAACACAGATTCATATAGACAACCAAGCTGTAATTTCAATATTAAATAATCCTATTTTTCATGGCAGGGCTAAACACTTAAGATCAAATTATATTTCTTAAGAGAAATGCAAAAAAAGGTGAAGTCAGTTTGCTTTATTGCAGAACTGAGGATCAAATTGCAAATGTGTTAACCAAAGCCCTATCCAAAGCTAGATTTGGAGCTTTAATAAGTAAACTAGGTCTTTACAGCTACTAAGGCAAGGAAGAATGTTGCAAGAATGCCTCATTAGCTACATTATGCAAACATAGGCTGTTAATGTGTGATGAATAATTAGATGTGTGTTAGTGGTTTATAGAAGTTAGATGTGTGTTAGTGGTTTATGAAAGTTAGGTGTGTGTTAGTAGTTTTTGTTTATGGCTTGTAAATAGGATGATCATACCTTGTGACTAGCAGTCATTTTAGTTTTAGGTTAAAATCCTTTTATATTTAAAGATGTTGCGTCAAATGAAGAAGTGAGATAACATTTTCAGTTTCATATTCTCATTGTTCATTCTCACAAGTGTTTTGTCCTAAAAAAATCAACATTATTATTATTATTATTATTATTATTATTATTATTTGTCCTAATAAGATGACCAAAAAGGCTAGCTTCCTCATGGGAGAAAGATTAAGGTGGTAGAAGGCTCCCATCTTCATTTCTTTTACGACAAAAGTGGAATTGAGATCATTACAAGAATATATAAAAAATCCTTCAAGAATTTTTCAAGAGTATAAACTGAAATTGATAGAAACATTCATTACTATTATTTTTGTCATATAATTACAAATTTTACTCGAGTCTAATTCTATTTTGGATATATTTTTAAAAAGTACCGAAAGATATCAAATTAATACATTCAAAATTTTATTCTTATAATATTTTTCGTACAAATCAAATCTTGGTTAACAAATATATATAACTTCTCCCCCTCTAGCGGGTCTAACTCTTGTGGGTAACATTCACTAACATGCACAAGAAGAAAAAAATTTCTAAACACTATTAGAAGAAAAAGAAAATTAAAAAAAAAAGAATGGGTAAGGGTAAAGCTAGCCAAGTTTTTTCTTAATTATCAAATGTCAATCCCAGTTGCGTATCCCGTAAGGGTGAATTTCTTTTATAAACATGTGATAGACCTGACAGGAAAGGCCGACTGCTTTAATTAATGATGATACATATATATTTCCCAATAAGTTAACCATAAATAATCATGCAAGCTCTGAATTGCAGAGTTCATTTCTAAAATGATTTTGATTTTCCTCTTCATTAAGAAGAGTCTAAAAAAGGCTCACCAAATAATAAGCAAAATGTTGATAGGAAAAATGAAGTATTTTGCATAATACTTATTCTAACATGATATATAGTTAGGTTTGACTGAATTTTCACAGTTTTTCTAAAACTTAATTCTAAAAGTTTCAGCTAAATCTTCATTGGGTTGAATACACCTAAATTCAGTACTTAATTTGTACATGTTGAATGATATTACACATATACAGTCATTATATGTAGAAACAGTGAATATATATAGTCAAATATTAATTTATAAAACTGCCATTTTCAAATAGAATATTTCTACAAAATCAAACATGGTGTTATCTTTTTTCAAAAGGCTTTAGTGTATGACGAGATAACTGGAACTTCTTTTTGGTGACTAAATTTCATAAAAGTGTGAGAAATGATTAAATCAAAATTTAATGAGTTTGATTAGGCCAATTCAAATGGGCATGGGGCGGTGGGGAAATTAACATGGATTGTTAGGTGGGCCCCTTTTTCTCAATATTCTTCAGGGCATTTTTATTGCAGGGGAGCGTCTATGACTCTGCCTAAATGGACCTGACGCCCTTGGTTGGCCCCACAAGCAGCCCATTTTTGCCGACCATGCCTTCGTCTTTTCTAAAGTCCAACCGCCCAACCTCTAGCGGTGCACGCCGGAAGGTTCCTAGTCAGCAGTTGCTTCCTAATCTTTTTTTTTTTTTTTCTTTTAATCATCATTGCTTTTGCTTCCCAATCTAAAACCCTAATCACCCCTATAATAACAAATAGAAATGGCTTTTCATTTCCATATTCTTTGTCATACAATCTCTCTCAATTTTATTTTAAAACTTTCAATATTCTTTCAAATATTTAAATACATCAAATTTTTATCGATTTAAATTTTAAATCTATTATCTTAATTTACATGTATAAATTATATACATGTAAATTAATGTGAATATCTCATCAACGACCAAAAGTATTATTAATATGTAGCAAAGCAAAAGGGCAAGGGAATTAGCATATATTCCTTCTTTTCCTTGCAACCAAAATAATGGGGAAAAATATTGGTTGGTGATGGATTGAAGCTATTAATTGGCATTATATGTAGTATAATTTAAAAGACTGATAACGGCTAAATATATTTGAATTTAAAATTATTAACATATATATGAAAACTTTATATTCAGTTCAAATACAAATCAAATTGGCCTTGATTATAATGTCAAAATTGGAATTTAGCATTCTTGCATGTCAATCATGCACCAAGGAAGAACCATAACTATCAAAAAACTATTTTTTTGATGGGTTTTTTTATGTCATTTCAGGAAAAAGAGAATTGAAAGAAAAAGAGCTAGTATGGTATACCTAAAGCTTAATTTAATAAAATGATAATAAATTGGTGCCATTGGCAGTTAAGGAAACAGCCTAAAGCAAAGGGACCCAAAACTCAAAACCTGTTAGTGCAAGTCAGCATCAAACACTTACCTCAGCCTTATTCAAATTTGGTCTGCCAAATCATAGTTGAAGTTGAACAAACGGCCACCCACTGGAAACCAAAATAACCTAAACCAGAAGGAATCTTAAATTGTTTGGCCTTCAAGAATTTCCTTTTCCTACTGAGGTGATTTTCATCCTATCAAAAACAAAACAAAGCTCAACAAAACTACTTTTCTTCCAGGGCTCAGTTCCCCGATATCCAGGGGAAGCAAAGAAAAACCCACCTTAATTCTCATCACTTATCCATGCTTCAGGTTTTCCTTTGAGGATGGTTCAAAGAAAGGTGCCCAACAAGCTTGGTATCCAAGCTGATCATATTAAATCAGAAAAGCGGTTGGGAAGCCTCAAACCATCATCTTGTCAGCACCAGGATGGCAAGAACAAAGGAACAGACTTGAAGAAAAAAATGAAAAAGTCAAGATCAATTAAGCTCTCAGATATTGAGGGCTTAAGATCATCATCACCTTTGAGGAAAACCGTTGCACAACCTGGAAAACCACCTCCTCTCCATGTTCCACCTGCTGCAGCAACCCTACCCAAGAAGTCTATGATCAAAGCCATCGGTGCATCACCAAACTACATGAAGTCCACCAGCAGTTCAAAAGCAAAAAAGGAGAGCCCTCAGGTTAGTTCCCGGAATACTCAAACTAGTTCAGATAGCAAGAATCTAGGTAGAAGAAGTTCAACTGGTTCAACAATTAGCTCTGGTTCTTGTAATAAACCTTCTAGAACTCTAACAAGGACATCTAGTTTGAAGCTGGTGAGGACTTTAACAAAATCTCCTACTTTCAAGCCGGCTAGAGCTTCGGTCAAAAAATGTCCCAGGGTTGCTTTATGTACTGATATAAATGTACAGAGAGCTACCTGTTCTTCGACTCTAAAGGATTCAAAGTTTCCCGCTTATCTTATGCTTAATCCTGGGGGAACTGAGTCTGAAGGAACTTCAATTATCAAGGTCTGCCCATATACTTACTGTTCCCTTAATGGTCATCAACACACTCCTTTGCCTCCACTGAAATGTTTCTTAAAAGCAAGGAGACGTTCACTGAAAAACCGGAGAAACATGAAGATGGAAGTTTTGAGCCCGCGTAGACAAAAGCCCTCTGGTGATGGAACCGAGGAATTCGATGAAGAGCTGGTGGTTTTTGGTAACGAGCCTGCAAGCAATGGAGTGAATTTGGGTAACTCTCCTATATCTCCTTTGGTGCAAGGAGGGCCCACGGATTTTTTCATTGAAATCTATGCAAAAAGCAAAGGAAATGACGTTGAAGCAACCAGAGGAAGCACACAAATGAACACCGAGGGAGTGGATGGTTCTGGATGTGGCAATGAAACAGCGCCAGAGCATGACAACGACAAGCCAGTTTCAGAGAGTTTATCTGAAGGTTCACCACACTCTAAGATTGATTTTGACGAACATCTTGAACATATCGGTGAAATTATTTCCAAAGTAGATATCACAGAGGCCCTTCTTGAAGAGCTGAAACATAGCGACGTGGATGAAGAGTTTAGAGGAATTTTGGTTAAAGAAGAATCACCAGCGTGGAACTTTAATGATGGTGATAAGCAGGAAGGCGTTTCAAGCGATGATGTGGATCACACTATTTTTGAGGTTATTGATATGGAGTGGGAGGAGTGGCCATTTTCTGCTTCAGAGCCTGGCGATGAAGCCCATTCCTCAATGGACTCTGATGATGAATGTGATTTGAACATTGGGGATTCGTCAGAAAGTCATACGAGTAATTTGCGTGAAGAATTTGTGGTCGGTTCAGGTGAAGGTGACAGCAACATCAGTGAGGAAATTCTGGCAGATGGAGAAGAAGTCTTTGAAGAAGATGCTGCATGCATTGATTCATGTAGCCAAGTATCTGAAACCTTATGTTACGACCAAGCTTCCTCCGCTGAAGAGATGTTCGAGGTATTGGTAGCCATGGAAGAAGAAGAGAAAGAAGAAGAAGAAGAAGAAGATGCTGAAATAGATTTCAAAGGCATCGATGCATCTCCCTCTTCAACAGAGGAGTTATATGAGGAGCCAACATCATTATTTAAAGAGAAAATGCTGGAGAATGGAGTTCCTGGAACAGTTAATGAGGTTTCTGAAGCAGATTCTCCGCTAGAAGTTCCTGAAGATAGCTGCACCATTGATTTGAAAGATGAAGCTTTTGAAGCAACAGAGCAATTTCAGCTTCACTTATTTGATAAGTTGGAGCTGGATGAAATAAATGAAGATTACAATGTAATCCAGAAGCCAGAGGATTCTGAAGCAGATCAGACAGTCACCATCGGTGATTTCTGTCCACAGAAGGAAGTTCCATGTGGTGAAGCTGGAGACAAAATGGAAGCTGGGAAAGTAGCTGATGCCGAATTGTTGATTGGAATCCAAATCTCTGATTCATCTCATGTTTTATCTGGGCTTGATGAAGATGGTATCGAGGTAGAAGACAACCGAAACAACAAACTTTGTGAAGTTAACAACACTATTGATGAAAGTTTTTCAATTCAAGATATTGTTAATGAAAGCCTTCTTTCCGAGAGTCAAGATCACCTGTCAGATGGCAAACATAAGAACACAGATGTTGTAGACAACCAGAGAACCCTAGAGGAAGATCACGATGAAGCTAAGTTAAAATTCCCTACTTCCATGGACTCGGAGGAGCAGAACAGTTCAAGGATGCATAAAACAAGTTTAGATGAGGGCATCAAAGAAGTTGGGAAAATGGAATTGGTGGATGGTGCTAGTACTGGGTTGGATGTCGCAGAAACATTTCCTGCAGCAAGTGATAAAACTAGCCACAAGCCAAGAAGCAAGTTCTCCTTCACTAGAAGCAATGCTAAGGAAGAACTGAGTGACAACCATAACAACAGAAAATGGACAATTGGACGCAACAGACATGAAGAGAACTATGCGGAACCAAAGAAATTCAACCCACGAGAACCAAACTTTCTGCCTGTTGTTCCAGAGCCAGATGCAGAAAAGGTTGATCTCAGGCATCAGATGATGGATGAAAGGAAAAATGCAGAGGAATGGATGCTTGATCATGCACTCCAACAAGCTGTCACCAAACTTGCTGCAGCTAGAAAGAGGAAGGTGGCATTACTTGTTGAAGCCTTTGAAACAGTCCTGCCGATAACTAAATGTGAAACCCATTTGAGGAATACTTCAACAAGCTTTGCCCATGGACAGCCCATTCAAGCTTGTAACTAGGGTTTTTTATTGAGGTAATTAACTCCTATTCCAAGTCCATTCCTTGCTATTATTTGGTTTTTACTTTGTATTCTGGTTTTAGCAATGCAATACTCAAGTTCCTATCTCAGCTGAAAGTTTGACAAAACATAATTCCACCACCATCTGACAGACAAACTCCACCTTATCATTCCCCAGGATATCAGAAGGAAATAGCTTTTGGCAAATTATAACTGCAATCAGTCTAAGGAGTAGCAAGCATCATCACCATAGCAAGAGAAGGCCAAAAATTTTAAACTACAGTTTCAATAGAGCAACGAACTAGTTTTCAACAGTTGGGAGGAACCGTAGATATAGCAACTTACAATGTAGCGGGTTGATCTCTGCAAGGTGGCAGTTTCTCCTAAATTATAAGGGTGAAGTGCGAGTAAGGAGTTTGTGAAGTGTTTTCAAATGTATCATATCTATCATTTGGAGGTCTATTTTGTTTAATATTATGTACTGATAATCATGACACTAAGTTTATATTTTAAATAATTACTACTATTATTATCACCAGCAATACATCAAATATCATCAAATGTTTTTCATGTATTGTTTCTAATCATGTTGAGCTACAATTGCCATACAAGAATTTAACTATTACTAGAATGTACTGTCATACAGGAGTAGGAACATGGATATTCAATCTTTAAGGAGTACTCAAACATTAATAAGCAACAAGGATATAAAAAATGCTATATACAAATTATCAAGCACCATATATGTTAACACGTGTCACATGCCCACATAAAATGCATAGATAACGGCATGTGGCATACACTGTCAACCTCACATGTATGTTCATGTACAAATAATAAAGTTTAAACGCTTCTCAACAAACATCAGGAGTTGAAACTTCTTGATGGAAGAAATGTACATTGATTTCAGGTGAGTCAAGAAGAAGTGATTGAAGCTCTGCAGTATAAGCTCCCAAACTACAAGAATTTGAGCTTTGTTCTTGTGAAGCACCTACACTAGCCTCAGCAGGCTCCCTCTGTTCCATAGCTTCCTTTGTCAAAATATCATCATGAAACAACTTAAGTGCATCTGTAGTAGAAAGCGAATTCATAGATTCATATAACTCCCGAAATTTATCTCTCTTTTCTTGTGTTTCAATCAACCTCTCCCTCAACTCATCCGGAAGACAAGCCAGTGTGCTTTTAAAGGCAAAGACACCAAAAACAGGAAAAGGAACAAAATTTAAAAATAAGATTTAGAGCAATGCCGTGCATCAAATGTAGAAGCAATATAGACATCAACAAAGAATAAGAAATTTTCTCCTCCTTTTCATTTTACCTGGTAACACCTCTAGCAAGACCCCAGTTGTACCCTATGGAAACTGATTGCTTAAAGCCAATATTAAAACCTTGTTGGGCAGAAGCCTCTTTCCCTGCTATCAGGCCATCACGATATCCAATCTGGAAATTCTCAATAATGACGGTGATATTAAATACTAAACAACCATCATATCTTCATATAAAATGAAAAGAAAATCTAAATTGTCAAGTACCGTGTGGAATTGATCATGCCTCCTCTGCCATTCCCGGTCTAAATCAGATGCTTTATCCAATTCATCATCAGAGTCACCCCATAAAGACCCATCTTCAGCCTGAATGTCAGCTTCATTGAACCCTGGGAAAAAAATCACTGCTAAAGAATGCAAGACTTACGGGTACCCCATGGAATTGCTACTATTAACTGATTACCATTGGCAGTTGAAGAATGGCCTAAGTGTAAATTAGATAGCTGCAAACTTTCTGAATAGAGCTCTTGAGCCAATTTATTATCCATTTCTCTACAACAGAAAAAGAAGAAACAATCACTTTGGCATTTCATCAAACATGTTCCAAGTTGCAAGCAGTAAATCGATTTGGTTAAAAAAATTTTACTTTTGTGCAAATAATAAAAGCTAAAAGTAAAATCCTGCGGCAGGATCTTCGCAGGATTTTTCTTTTGATAATCGAAAACTAAAATAAGAATTGGCTTACTTAATCTTCAAATTCCAACACATATTTCTAAAGAAAAAGAATTTTAAAAAAAACTAAAATAAGAACACAACAATTAAGATTAATAATCAAAATAATAATATCCGAAACTTACCTCGTAAATCTCCCCCTTGTCTCTCGGTTCCGTTAAAGCTCCGAAGTCCAAACTCGATTAAAGCTAGAGGGCAAAGAAAATTCTGATTTTCATTCCCGTTTCTATTTCTTTTCTTTTTGTTTTTTTTCTTCTGTTTGGGCTTTGTTCATTGTGCTTATTTGGACCTTTAATTAGACAATAAGCCCATTATAGTTCATAAATGGGTCTGACCAGCCGGGCCCAATTGGTACTTTTAAAGCCACGGAAGAGACGATGTGCTAAATAAATGTCTTGCATGAGAAAAAGACAATGCCACATTCTCTCATTTCCACTTCCTTTAAGTTATCATTATCACATACAGGTTGGAATCACATGATTGCAACATTGGAAAGCACTAGAAATTTATAGCTTTAACAAAGTTAGTTTTGAGAAAATGCAAAATACCAACAATTATATATGGAAATTAAGGCAGTTGGATGCATGCCATTGCCAAATACCAATCAATCAAAAAGAGCTTTCTTAGCACACTCGATATGTTCCTTTTTTCAATGTGGTAGTAATAATTAATGGTTCATTCTTTGTTACAACTCTTGTTCTCAGACAGACATGCCATTTGAAAATTGGTGAGTGAGTTGTTTGTCATGTGTTGCATGTGAAAATAGCTAGCCAAATGCCCTCATCTAATTAATTAGCTTCTCTCAATGCACATGATTATTGTTGTTTACCCCCCAATTTATAACCATTATTATAAGGATAATAATTATTGGATTATTATTAATTGCCTTTCAAATAAATGAATTATCTAAGAATATCATGAGGTTACCGTTGTTAAAATTTCTTTCATCTACAGCGGCTACCTCCCAACTTTTTTGACTTCTGATCAATCAATTCTTAATCACAATGCTATTTGCAATGTCATTTCCATACTTATCAATGGCCACCAGTCCCTTTCAATCATCGGCCTTCGTTTCTTATTTACAGTATCATTGCTTGCAATAATTAATGCTCACAAATATGAGAATAAACAACTATTGGTGACACCTTAAGTAAGGTCGGCCATTAATAGCCTGCTGCATATCAAACTAGTCAACTAGTAAATAGTTAAACAAATTAAAAGAGTTCTGTAGAATTAAGCTCCTCTTTCTAGTATATATAGGCACCAATCATTATGACCTTTTCATCTCCACTCTCCCGTCTTCAAATCATCCATTACCATTCTCTCTAATGGGTTCTTTCAAGAGAAGAAGATGCTACTCTTTTCTCGCTGTCAGCTTTGTCATATTTTCATGTCTATGTTTAGCAAATGCCAATGGCATTCACAGAAAGAAAAGCAGCGTTGAGTACTCCAGAAAAGAACAGAGCAGTTGCAATGTGTACCAAGGGAATTGGGTGTCTGACAACTCTTACCCTCTCTACAATTCATCAACCTGTCCATTCATCCGCAAGGAATTTGATTGCCAGAAGTATGGCCGTCCCGATCACCTCTACCTTAAATATAGATGGCAGCCAAGCAACTGTCACTTGCCAAGGTACATTGCTATATATATCTCATCTCTCTCACTACTGTCTCCATGTTTCTGCTTATTAGCTTAAGCATTTTCAGGCTCTCTTCTGTTATTGTTCTCAGTACTGCTGCAAATGTTGTCATTTATAGTTGCAAGCTTTTGAAGAATATAGAGGCTCCATTAATTTCATTGTTACTTTAGGCTGATCTTTATTGTTGGTACCAGTTTTTACTAAAAACAAAACAAATGTCCAGTTTGCATTAAATTTGGAGGGAGAAATAGTACGGCTTACTCTGTTGCAGCATATGCAAGGTTAGAGTAAAAAACAAAGGAGAGTGTTGTAAAAATATTATATGTTGATGTTGCCATGGGATGTGCCAATTAATGATGCTAAGAAACACAAACTCCTATAAAAAAACATTTTCTAACGTAAAATTGAGGAAATGTAATATATATTTTATCTTGAAAACTGTCTATTATTTTGCTTGAAATGATGTGCAGTGATGCATTAATGCTCGATAATTAGGAAGAGATAGCTTGTGGGATTTGAAATGCATCAACCTCAGATGATATGCTCCCATAACAGACAATCTAAATTAAAGAATCTGAGAAAAAGGCCAAGGCATGATTTAAAAATAAAGCTAAAAATATAGCATCTATCTTTGAAATACTGCATTTACTTTTTAGTTAAGAGGTGGAGAAAGACAGGACATGGAGAAATATGAGGTTTGGTCAATGCCCCACATGTCTACTGAGTGCTGTAGGCGTTACATCTTCTTTTTGATAATGTTTCCTTCTAATTTTCTTTCCATATTTTGCTGTAAGCAATTAAGTCTATAACATCGAAATTACAAACAAATCAACGATAGGTTTAATGGACAACATTTTTTGAAGAGATTCAAGGGCAAGAAGATCGCGTTTATTGGCGACTCTGTAAGTCTTAATCACTGGCAATCACTAATCTGCATGCTTCATGCCGCCACGCCTAATTCCTCTATAGTCAGACAAGAGTTGAATAAAAGCATTTCCGCTGTCACATTCCAGGTAAAAACACCAGGATGAATAATTAAGGTTATCTATGTAAGAATTTTCAACCAGAAACGTTTCACGTGATTCATTTGTTTACACTTAACTTATAGGTAACTAACCGTGCTAGTTGGACTGAAACTTTCAGGACTACAATGTATCCGTGATGCTATTTCATTCCCTATACTTAGTAGACATTGACGAGGAAAAAATTGGCAGAGTTCTGAAGCTGAATTCTATTAGAAATGGCGATCTATGGAATAACATTGATGTTTTAGTTTTCAATACTTGGCTATGGTGGTACCGCAGAGGACCGAAGCAACAGTATGAACTCTACAACTCAAGCATAAAATTTATTTTTACAAGAGTTAATAAAATAAGCATAAAGTGATCAATTACTTTAACAAGAGTTATAATGATATGTCTTGTTACATTGCAGATGGGATTATGTGCAAGTTGATGGAAAGATTCTTAAGGACATTGATCGCATGACTGCTTTTCGCACAGCTTTGACAACATGGGCCCAATGGGTTGATTCAGATGTGGATACTAACATAACTAAAGTAATTTTTCAAGGAATTTCTCCTTCCCACTACAAGTGAGTTGCTTTTCCTTTTTCCATTTCTGTTTTCAAGACGGAACACTGTATCAGCCTATAAAACTAGGATAGTTTCTTGACTCTATTTTCATATGAATACAGTGGCACGGATTGGAATCAGCCAGGAGTGAGAAATTGCTTAAGGGAAATGATTCCATTTAATGGATCAGTTTATCCAATTGGTTTGCCTGAGGCAGCATATGTGGTTAAGGAGGTCATAAGTAGCATCAAGAAACCTGTTCATTTGCTAGATATTACAGCACTCTCCCAATTAAGAAAAGATGCACATCCGAGCTCTTACAATGGCTTCAAGGGCATGGATTGCACCCACTGGTGCGTCGCAGGCCTTCCTGATACATGGAATGAACTTTTGTATGCAGCTCTCATCAGTTAGCAGAGAAAACAAAGATGAAAGTACAAATTTGGTTCAGGTAGCAAGCAATCGTCAAAAGCCAACCGACATAGATTTAGTCTCCTTACATGTGACAGATTTAATGGCATTTGGTATTGTTGTTGTGCTAATTTATTCTAGGTGAACGTATAAAACTAAATCCAATCATTTTTTTATCTAAATTATTTATTTTTCTATTTACTACAAAAAGATCATAAGACTATACATTGAAATATGTAATAAATCTGTAATTTCCTTCTAAAATTCCTAATGAAGATTTAGGGAGAACCATTAGTAGCTTCTTGGCAGATCAATGTAAAAATGTGAATAGGAATTAGTGAAAGATAAAATGTACAGGCAGATTAATATGGCTGACTGTTAAGCTAAGGTAAATAGGTGATATGGAAGAATAGATGTTCACAGAAAATGCTTTAGAGCTTTGATTTTGCTTGAAGCAAAGATTACTTCAACATCAGTCACATAATATCAAACTTAAAATAAGATTTATGAAGTAGTGTGCGACATCCGATCAGATATGTCGGCAACCAAAGGGAATATAGTCAAAAACTATGCTAGCAATGGGCAGTCACATAATTTATAATAAGATCATGCACAAGCTATAGCTCATGACAAAGAAACCTCTGCTATCTGGAGGTTTCTGTTTTCATTTATTGCATCTTTCGTATGTAGATCATTAAAAAAAAATGTTAAAATTTGGCTTTACATTAATTCTTTCGAAATCTTCCCAGATTGTTGCATTGACTTTTATAAGTGCACAACATCATCCAACAAGCATTCTTAGACTCTTTTTTTTTTTTTTTTCTTTTCTCTTGTTTCTTCTTCTCCTGGAGCAAGTTCTATTGCACACCAACAAACAAAAGTATTTCAACAGTTAAAGACATTTCCTCCAAGATCAGCAAAAACTTAGGATTCTTTGAAAATAGCAGAGCATAAGTCTATATGATGAAGAATAAAGTATCATTGTTTTGAAAATGAAGAGGACATCATGGTACCTTGTACTTTGGCATTTTTTAACTGGAGATAGGTTATAGTGGAAGCATAATCATTCTTCCTTCAAAATCAAAGAACCTTTCATAGTGTCAAAAAACAGCAAGAAGGCCACTTGCATTTATAAAAGTCATTGAAAAAACGAAATGAAAAATGGAAGAAAAGGGCAAACAGTTTCTACAAAACTCACCAACGCTGCTACCTCTTATAAAAAGGCCAAATCTCATTTTGACTGACAAAGAACATCAAACTTTGCCATTGTGCAATCTTTAAAACAACCTCATTCAAAATCAATCCAAAATGGCCACTAATTTTTCCATTTGCCTTCTCATCACCTTCAATTTCGTTATCTTCCCAACCTTCTACAATACTGTTAATGGCATCTTCTGTGAGGAACTAACTGAGGGCATAGCAATAAAGCGTGTAGAAAAAACATCCCACCTCCACTTCTATTTCCATGATGTCACTAGTGGGAAAAAACCTAGTGCTGTGAAAATTGCTGGACCAGCAAACAGCAGCGCCTACGGATTTGGAGCCACTATGATGATGGATGATGCATTGACAGAAGGGCCTGATATCAGCTCAAAGCTGGTTGGAAGAGCTCAAGGGCTATATGCCATTGCCGCACAAGAAGAGGTATCATTGCTAATGGTTATGAATTTTGCATTCATTGAAGGAACTTACAATGGCAGCAGCATCAGCATTCTTGGGAGGAATCCAGTTTTCAATGACGTGAGGGAAATGCCGATTGCTGGAGGTAGTGGGGTGTTTAGGCTTGCCCGGGGCTATGCACTGGCACATACAATTTGGTTTGATTACAACACTGGAGATGCCACGGTTGAGTACCATGTCTATGTGTCACATTATTGAGCTATTTTGTTAGGTTATATTAATTTGTTGCTTCTTAATTATGTTTTTTCATTGATCAATTATACAGTAAAAAATAGGAGAGCCCCGAACAGTTCACTTCATTCCACACGATCAAATGATTGATTAATTAAGATCAAGTGTATCATTATTTACTTTTTTTTTTTAATCGCATTTTCTTCTTGTTAATGTATGCTTTCCTCTTGTGTTTTATTTTCTCAAGCCATCATGTAATGATTAAATCTTTAAAGCTAGTGTTGTATACATTACCGAAGTATATAAGTTTTTTTAAAAGGGTTTTAGTGTCTTTGACAAAATACAAATTAAGGTTAGAAATTCTCTTGGTACTATATATAAAAGGGTTTTTCAGCATAAAAAGAAATATCCTTTCTTAATTAGCAAAGGCAGAAAAAAATTCTAGTATTGATTTCCAGCTAAATGAAGTAGGACATCAATCTAAGCAGAAATAGAAATGCTCTCAAAATGCCTGCCATAACCTTAAGCATGAAAAAACAGTTAAAGATTCAGTCATGGTATATACAAATCAAAGAAATTTCATTAGGGCCCATTCACCACGATATAACATCTAGCAAAAGCAAGTTTGTGCAGCCAACTTGGAAATGTGGGACAAAAGAAAAGTAAAGCAAGCTGTGATTACAGATTAGTGATTACCTATCCAGTGGCAGTAAAGTTGTGAGGCCTTTGTTTGTGATGGAAGGAAGCAAGCATGCTTTGAAAAAGCCTGGTATATATACATGATGACCATGTGGTTCTGACTAGAATATCTAAAACCGATGAATTCTCTTTGCAGAAAAAGAGAAATTAAGTAGAAAAGCAAATACTTCAAGAAAAGTTAATTTAAAGACTAAAATGAAGACTTTGAATCCAAAGCCCCTGCAACTTAAAGTTGTTGAATTGCCTAAGTTATTTTTAGTATCACGAATTAGCTATCAGTTAACTGAGATTATATCTGAAATAATGCAGGAGAGCCCCAATTTGATTAAAATAGTAAACAGTTCTTTTCATTCGTTGGCCAAACAAAAAAAGGAGCAGTTCACTTCATTCCACTCAATCAAATGATTTATTAATTAGGATCAAGTGTATCATTAATTATTGACTTTTTATGCATTTTGTTCTTATTAATTACGCTTCCTTTTGTGTTTTAATTATTTTCTCAAGCCATCATGTACTGAATATATCATTCAGGCTGGCTAGAAGTGATGTAGATGGAAGGCCTCGCACAAGTAACCATTTCTTGACAAAAACAATATGCCACAGAAACAAGCAGCTCTCGTGTTGACAAAAAAAAGGAGAATCTGATTTTCACTTCTATATTTCGTAAGGATGCATAAAAAATTTATACCAGAGACGTTTCAACCTTCCAATGCTGGAGTTGCGGTATTATCTAATTTGTCAATTGACTTGTTAAGTTCTTAGGTCATGTTGCAACTTTAAACCTCCAAGAATATTTTCTGCCACACAACTACTGAGTGAAGCAAAGTGGCATTTCCAGAGAACAAATTAAGGCATTCAAGATGTGAAATACATATAAAACAAAGTGGAAAGGCTTGAACAGATCAGAAAATGATTTGGCAAAGCTTAGTCAGAAGAATAAATTCCATCAATAATAAACTTGAAATGTTATTAGATCATGAAATGACTCAAAAGTCTCCCAGCAAATTTCTGCAAATAAAGAGTTCCCAAATAATCGTGGACTATACATATAGCGGCAGCCAAAAGGAAAATGAACCGATATGTTCAAAATTTTTAAGTAAATACAGAATAAATAGTCTTTCATATACATTAAAACTACAAGGGCAAATAAACTAGCAAACGAGGAAAGAGAAACTTGAGAGTCAAGGAGAATTGAGCTCAAATTTTTCATCGGAACACGTTGAGATTGCAGGAAAGAAAAACTTGATATTCTTTACAGAGAGAACAAGAGAAAGGAGGAAACAAGCACACACAAAATGGGTAACAATCTTAATCACATCGTCTACCCCCAGGCTGACATTGAATATAGAGGTCTTTCTTGCCAGCACATAACCAAACACCCATTCTCTTCTTTGATGTTATAACCATCGTAGTTATTGGTCTGCAACAACCTTCCTGCCTGCAACATGCCATGGTAGCTTAAAGGCACCTTTACAAAACCGGCCAACTCAAGTCGCAGAATCCATTTGTCAAGCTTCTCATGTCTCTCCTTTCTCTCAAGACCCTCACATGCTATAATATTCTTAATTTCCTCTCCAAAAAGCATCTTCTCAACCTTTTGTCGCTCTAGTTGTGCTCTTGATACCGTAGACTCTAAGCAATCAAAGAGCGCAGCATAGAAATTCAATGCTTCCATTACCCTCTCCATTAAAGTAGGGCCATTATGGTTGGACTCCTGCTCGGTTACAACCATCAGTTTTGGTGACAGTGCCCGAAGAGCTGTTAAAAAGCTCCCCATTTTCGGTGCTGGAGCTAGGGACAGCGGGGATGATGGTGATGGTGTTGCCAAGTCAGAACTTGGGCTGTATATATGGACTGGCTCTTTCTCAAGCCACTCTCCTAAAGTACGTTGGTTCATCTGCAAGATTCTGTGTGATTGATTACTATTAAGGTTCTTAGACAAGGATGGGGAGTTATTGTTCCTTCTACGCATTTCATCATCAGTGGCCAGGAGAGAATGAAGCTGAAGAACAGAACTGACTGCAAGAGCTTCCCCAGTCTTGACTCGCAAACTTTCCAGATCAAGATTCTCTAACTTGCAAACTATTGGGTTAAACTGAAATGGAATGTCCAATTTTTCAGCTTCTTCTGTCAACCAAAGGGCCATTTGCTCTAACACCTCTTTCTGTTCATGAATGCCTGTAATTCTCAGATGGGGTGGCCCTTCTGGCCTAACACTAAATGTCTGAAAAAGATTGATCCACTGTGCAGGCTCACATGAATTGAGATCTATAATATGAACCATCTTCTCCCCCTCCATAGCTTCTATAATGGCCTGGTTTGTGATAACGTATGCAATCTTTAAGAAGGGGCATAGCTCAAAGAACAACTTTTGAACAAGAATTTCCTCTGATACTGAAGATATTTTTGTGGAATTGAGGGCTTTGTGAAGACCTGGCCATGCTTTAAGCATCCTGTCAGCAAGTGCCTCAGTGAAGTAAGCAGCAATTCTTTGCATGGTATCTCCATCAGGAGAGGCAAGGTGGGATATTTGCTCTAGGCCGAAATTGGCATTCTCAAGACTACCAGCAGCGACATGGTTTGCACATGCAACAAGAAGATGTATCAGACATAAACCCCTCTCCTCAGATTTGAGCTCCCGGAGCCATGGGAACGGCGATCCTAAACCAGGAGATAGTGACATCCAGGGGAAGAATTGAAGTGGCGATGAAGTCACAGACGTTCGTCCCTCTTGAATCATTCCTGCCATTAACAGTCAAGAGTAATCTCAGCCCCCCTGAAAAATAAAATTCCTGCATATTGTTCAGTGAACAGCTAATGCCTAAATAATTTAATGCAAAATCAATCAAATGCTTTAAATGAATAGTCCAAAAACTTACTAAAACTGAGAGAAATTCTAAAAGTTCGTTCTTTCTGTTCTTTATCTGGTCTCCTTGTTAAAAAGAAAAAAGGTCAATTGGACTTCTCATTACTCTCAATCACAAAACTAAGCTGCCATCTTGATTTTTTTTGTCTTGACTACAAAATACATGGTAACCGACCAGAAGGAACTCCTTAATCAGAATAGTGTAATCAAGAACTAGATATTTCTCCCTGCAACACTTTAAGCAGTGCTAGACTAATTGTGGCTAAAAAGCATTAGTTGAATCTTGAAAGAAATTTTAAGGAAACAGAGGAAAACAAAAACAAGGCTCTGTTTTTTAATGTTTCCTGTTTTGCCTGTACAAATATCAGCTGAGTGGAGCACACTCACCCCCCCTACCCCCTGCTTTCCTGTCCTAAGAAGTCCTTATTTGAAACTTAAAAACTGAATGTTTTCGCAGAAAAAGAAAGAGAAAGGAGGAAACTTCATCTTCATCTTTATACACAAATCATGAAGTAAGGTCAAATGCTGCGCTTGTTAAAAAGAGATTGTTAAAAGTTCTCCATCCGTTTCCTACGTTTTCTCAGCAATCAAATAGAGACTGAAGCAAACCTCTAACAGAGAAACAAAGGAAAACCCATAGTTTGATTAAAAGAAGGAATCTCTACCAAATTAAGCAGGGAAAGTCATGAAACAGAGACAGGGAAATTACCAGTAGAAGAAAAGCGAATTGTCCTGAGAAAAACCGATCAAACCGAGTAATAAATTAAAATACCCTACTGGGTTTTGAAATTCATTAAAATCGTGGAAGACCCCTTAAGAAAAGTGGAAAACTTGGTAACTCAAATCTCTTTATCCATGAAAGCGGTTTCATCACTAAAAGCAGGGTTCGGTTGGTTGTCTTTGGTTCTGTTGGAAAGCGAGTCAATTGGAATTAAAGTTCTTGTCTTGAAGGACTTTTCCATGGCTGCTTTGGCAAGAACGGAAGAGGTTGTTTTTGTCCTCATCGTTTTGTTTATCTTTTGGTGGGTTCGGAAGAATATGGAATTTCTTGAAATACATACACAGCATAGAGATAGAGATAGAGCCCTCTCTGTTTCTACTGTCTGCCTCTCTCTCTTTCTCTCTCTAAAAATGTTATCATCTCTAACCAACCATATTTTGGTCTTTGTTTGTTTCCTTCTCTCACTAAATTTGATTTGTTTTGTCAGTACGTGAAGTGGATGGGAATAAGAGCTGGCCAAGATTGGTATTATGCTCAAACCCAACAAAAAGCCAAACATTCTCTACCAAAACAAAACAACACCCTTGCTTGTTGCTTAGTGGGTGATAGTGGAGATTTCAAGGGAAGCCTCTCCATGTGCCTCCAAATCGACTATTTGTTCTCTTTCCATCCACTTGGGGCTTACTTCTAGCATTAGGACAAAGGGACAAGCAAGTTAAAAAAAAAAAGCCAAAAGTAGATGATAGAAGATTTAACTTTAGGATGGTTTAGTCTTGGTTTGGAATTATCCATTTCCTTGTTTTCTACAAAATGTTTTAGAATTGTTCTTTTAGAATGTAATAAGGATCCAAATTATGCCACATAATCATGGCTTAGTGATTTACCACATCATCCACTGATTTGCTGAATCTTGTTAGTGGGAAATGTGATGCCCACTTACCTCCATTTTAATTATTTTAATTTTGTTTTGATACCTTTTATCCATTGTTTATGGTCTTGGTCGTGGCGGTAGTGGTAGTGGCCAGCAATTTTATGTCCTTGCTCTTTTCAACTTATACATGCTCCAAATCCAGCATAAGAAAGTTGGTAAATCTTTTGAATTACGTAATATCAGCAGTTGAAAGATCTCGCATCACTTTAAAGAGATGATTTGGTACAGGAAAACAATCAATGGCAATTTGCTCAATTGCCAATAAATTAAAGCTTTTAACCCTTGATGGTGATACAATTACACAAAGGGTTTGGTAGAGATATGACTTATTTTTTAGGCAGTTTTGCTTTGTTCTTAATTTCCAAACAGCTAAAAGAAAATTCTCAAATCTACAATGTTAGTCGACCTGACCTCTTAAATTTTCTACCATGGAACATCAATGGCACCCACGTGGACATTAAAACATCACATTTTCAGCACCATATAAACACAAACACCATTAACTTTTTATCCAAGATGTTATAAAAGTAGTATAGTGGGTTATATACCATGCTCTAGTTAACATAGGCAGAAACTAGACAATGGAGCGGATCGATCCATCCCACTTGTTTCTTTTTGTTTGTAGTGCGTCTAGCCTTCATCAGCCAAAAGGACAACTCCAAGCACATGTAAATTTTTTTGCACTCTCTAAAACTTAATGTATAAATATATATGTTTAATGTTTTCAATTTTGTTTTATGGAGCAAACATTGGTGTAAATATTCCTTCGTTCTTCATTGTTTTTCAGTGAATATACTCAATATAGAGGTTGCTCCAATCTAATCATTCATGTACAATATGAATATTTACATCTCATAATTCATGCAATTAATATTAAATATGAATTTTCCTTTAATTTTACTCAAACCAAGTGCGATAAGCTCATTGACTAGGTTGCACCCCGTATTTCCCTGTAGGATTTTTTGCCATATTGCTTGATCAAATTTTTTTTCTCTTTTGTTTTGTATTAATTCTTATGGGAATGGGAGAGGAGTGGTTAGAAATCAGAATCAAACAAAGCATGTCAAATCCAAAAGTAGAAAAACATGAAAGGATGGGTTTTTTCAAGGTCTAGATATTATCTTTGAAAGAGAGCTTATGTTAGACTCTCTCTCGATTCATATGGCTAGATACCTTGCTAATTGCGATACATATATTAACTCGAAAGAAAAAAAGTTCGTTGATTTGGACATGAAATTAAGATAGCTTCTTTGTCTTAAGCGTCTATCGATCCTTACAATGTTTTAGGTGGGGATGCTTTCCTGAGTTTACATTTTGTACTTTTGCGACCAACCACCCTTTCAATGCTGTTTCCCTAGCTCGTTTAATTCTCAAAAAAGAATAAAATAAAAATCCATATGTCTTGGGCCAAGCCTTTAAAGTAGCTTTAGCCTAAACCTAGAATAGGTAATGAAAGTTATTAGGAAAACACCATTTGGGCCAAAAATTGAAAGCTCATAAGTCATAACTGCAATCAAATTAATTGACAGGGAAGAGGCCAAGAGTTTTGGGTTGGACTATCTTCGAAGTTCATTGACACGATAAGTAACTGCGTTTTTTCTGGGCTGAGAAATGGTGCTTAATCTCCATTGGGCATTGAACACATGACCAGGGCTACCTCTTTTATTATGTCCAGTGTTATGTAATTGATCTTTGCTGTTTCCTGGACCAAAATTTTCATCATGTGTTTTTCTAAAATCGCAACTTCATAAAGGTTTAAGAGAACCCACAGTTTTCTCAGCAAAAGGAAAACAAGCGAACCCATAATTTGATGAGCATTCAAAAGAGTTAATATAAGTACGTACGTACGTACGTATGTATGTAATTTTTACCCCTGGAACCAAATAATTCTTCTTCATTTCATTTTGTTGATTTAGTTAGTGTATTTCCTTTACGTTTTATAGACTTAATATTTTGATTGTCAATTGGTATATAATTTTGCAAGTTACACAGTTCCATGAAGTTGATTAGAAATCAAAGGAACCGCAAATCTTGGAGAATATAGATGTGAAGTCACTGGCTGGGATGCTTCCATTGCCCTTAGCTCACAAAATTTTGTGGTTCTTCCACATTTTTATTCGGGGGGGGAAGAAAAAAGCTATTGAGCAAAAAGACAGAGCAGTCATATGATGTGCTTGGATGAGTTGCAACCAGTTACATGTATGATTTCTCCATTATCCAATTAAAAACGTGGGCCTCACCTTTTTTACTATTAGCCATGCCTATGCCCATTGCCAACGATTTCATGATAAACCAAATTAAAAACCACCCATCCTGATCAGATCTTCTAATTCCACCCGATGCATCCAAATGCGTGGGGCAGGTGGCATAATGTCATTCATCCTTTTCCCCCCACTTTCTAGAAAGGAAACATCTTGTCAGCATCTTTTCCAAACCAACGGATCATCAATCCCAAATCCAAATGCAGTCCAGGAATCCATCAACCTCGTTAAGATTTCAGGAGTTTGGATATCTAGTTGTGGCAGAGTTGTTACTTAGTTCCAACGTCCAAAGTCAAAATCTTTGTTCATAGCATAGCATAGGTGTTTGCAGCTTTTGTTGTAGGTCACTTCTCTTCTCTAAAGTTTGGCATTTGGGTTCAACTTCAGCAGCTTTACCTTTTTCCTTCTACTTTTTATGTGACAGTGAGATTCGTACCAATTAATTATGTAGTAATACATTATGCATCAAACTTTGTCATTTCATCTGTTGTATAATTTGAGCTGTATTCTACATATTTGTTTGCTTAAATATTAGTCTTAATTAGTCTTAAATGGGGAAAGAGGATATTGTTTAACTAGAGAGATAAATGTAGCACTTATTAAGTGCCGGAGTACATTTGTTAAGTTCAGAATGTGGAGGAAATATGGAATTCAACAATTGGGACATGCAAAAACAAATGAGGGATGGGCTTTGCTTTGCTATGGTGTCCTGGCATCTGTTCCTCTGCATTTCAACGTCTTTTGTGGAAAGTGAATCAAATATCATTTTTAAAGTTTCAATTTGATGTTTCGTTTTTCTAAGAGCTTCCACTTTTTTTTTTTTTTTAAGGTGAATGAAACATCATTTTCAAGTTTTAACCGATTTCTAAGCGAAGCAAAAGTAAGACCTTACCATCCTTTTTTATGGAGATGGAAATTTGGGTGAGCGTCTATCTAACCACCAGTTTGATCAATTAAGACAAAAGAATTTAATTTATCCAAAGCCTTATCAAAACTGATTGATGAATTAATAATCTCATAATATAGATAATTGTAATTATATATCATCATCATCTACTCTACCTATACACTGCAAGATTTATATATGTCAGCTGTTCAGATTGCACAACATCAACCACTGTCTCCTTCACTCAATGCAACAGTTTAAACATTGTTTGTATATCAAACTCAACCTATAAATTTCTTATATCTTAGGATAAAGAATCCGGAGTTTCTTTCAAGTCATAAAAATTGAAATGAAAATACCCAATTCCAAATTACTTCTTTCGAATTTGTCAAAAATGCCCTTAAGTGCTCGAGATTGCCAGCCCAGTCCAACGTCTCTTGCATTATGTCTAGTTAATTTAATTGAATAATAATAATAATAATAATAATGCTAAATCATCATGCAGCCAAACCCAACCACCATAGCATATATACCAGAGAAATATTGATTTGAAACCTTTACTTTCACATTTTAAAGCCCTTAAGACAATAAAATTTTGACAGCAGGCATATGTGTTGAGACTTGTAGTTCAGTACATGCTAGCTACAGGACTTGTGCAGCATATATCGCTTCTAAGGAATGTTCATCTCATTACTACTGTATATATATATTTACAAATCAGAATCAAATGAAATTTTCCATTGGAAATTTAATACAATGTTTTACTAGATTTTACTATTATTTTTCTTGGTATTTCACCAACCTGTCGGTGCATGCCAACGTTGTCTTTGAATACAAAAATTTGGTAGAATCTACTAGCAGACATTTGTATGGATTGGGTAGCATGTATATATATTTTCTATTTGTTGGTTTTATCTCCCTTTGTTTTTCTTTTGCGTGGATAAGATTGAAGGCAGATTCAGTTAACTAGTTAAGCATCCTTCCCAGAGAGATATGAAAATTAAAATAATAAAAAAATGTTTGATAAAATGTTGTATTATATAATTCTCAAAAGGTAACAAATAGTAGCCGACCAATTCCACTTTATAGTAATTAAGATTTCAAAAACACATAAGATTAACATTATTTTAATCTTTGCTGGAGTAGTCAATGACAATGATTAAAGCTGGTGCTTTTCTGAATTAAAACTACCTCTCCACTCCTTCCTTTCATGTTCTTTCAACCTAATTTTTTCTTGACCAATGTGTTTAGCTTACTTTAGCACATATGAAAAAAATATTGTTAGGGAGGATTTAAAGAATGAAAGAGGTAAACATTTCTTGTTAATGATTGTGCCTAAGATAATACTTTTTCTTTAATTGAAATTGAGTTTTTAAAGTCAATTTAACTTCTTTTGATAGAATTAATTCAATCCAACTTGTTTAAAGACTATCTATCAAGAAAGAAAAAAAAAAAAAAAACTTGATTGAAGGGTAAGTGGATAAAAAATAAAACAAGTTTGTGATTGGCATGTTGGTGTGTTTCATGTGCGCTAATGATGATGATTAGTGTAACGTTTCAAATCTCATATTGAAAGAAT